CTGCTCCTTGCAATTAAGACTGGCTGCAGTCAATCTTGAGTGCACGGGAGCGAGGTTCATAAGAATCAAGATTTATTGACATCTTAGAAGCCTCCCACTTGTTACAATTTATACAGGTAATTATGCGTTCCCTCTTAATGCACGGTCCTTGCTGTGAAGGTTACGGAAAAAAAATCCTGACTTGGCTTATTTATTGATTCTCCGTCAACGATGGCTTGAAGAAGCTGTCCTCCTCACATCAAGACCGCCTGCTTTTCTGCTGTTCCAAAGGTCATTAGCACACATTTCGTGATGTATGATTATTAGGACTTCACCAAGCTGAAGAAAGCACAAGGGATTTGCCCGCCATGAGTTTTTTTTTTTTTTCATGAATGAAAAAAAATCTGCTTTTTCATTTTCTTCCAAGGAGAAACTCAAATGTGACAAGATGATTTGGTGGAAACTAGTGGTCTAAGTCTCCATTGGCTTGGAAAATAATAATAGAATAGAATAGAATAGAATAGAATAGAATAGAATAGAATAGAATAGAATAGAATAGAATAGATAGAATAGAATAGAATAGAATAGAATAGAATAGAATAGAATAGAATCCTTTATTGACCAAGTGTGATTGGACACACAAGTTATTTGTCTTTGGTGCATAAACTCTCAGTATACATAAAAGAAAAAATACGTTCTTCAAGAATCATACGATACAACACTTAATGATAGTCATAGGGTACAAATAAGCAACCAGGAAACAATATCAATATAAATCGTAAGTATACCAGCAACAAGGTTACAGTCATACAGTCATAAGTGGGAGGAGATGGGTGATATGATAGGAACGATGAGAAGATTAATAGTAATGCAGACTTAGTGAATCGAGGGAATTATTTGTTTAGCAGAGTGATGGCGTTCGGGAAAAAACTGTCCTTGTGTCTAGTTGTTCTGGTGTGCAATGCTCTATAGCGTCGTTTTGAGGGTAGGAGTTGAAACAGTTTATGTCCAGGATGTGAGAGGTCTGTAGATATTTTCACAGCTCTCTTTTTTGACTTGTGCAGTATACAGGTCCTCCATGGAAGGCAGGTTGGTAGCCATGGTTTTTCCTGCAGTTCTAATTCTCCTCTGAAGTCTGTGTCTGTCTTGTTGGGTTGCAGAACCAAACCAGACACTTATAGAGGTGCAGATGACAGACTCAATAATTCCTCTGTAGAACTGGATCAAAAGGGGACATTTCCTACAGTTGTCAGGGATTAACCCTTCCTTAAAATTATTCTGGGATTTCAAGATTACGTTCTGGCCACGGATAGTAGTATGGCTAACTCTGACTGGCTGTTAGAATCACGTTGATATCACGCATGCTATATTGTTGATTGGGATCACTCCAAGAAGCCAAAACCCTGGAGAGATAGGAAATCGTCTTGACATGGAAGTTGAGGGGTCAACAGTAGCTGCAAAATGTTGAGAAAAAGTGCCGAGAAGGTTCTATTAATAAGCTGTAGAAAAAAAATATATCTTTCCTCAAAAATCTTCCCTGTAAAACTCGGTTGGCTTGGAGTAAAAAAATTGAGCATCTTCAGGGCTTAAGATAGAGGTACTCCATAACCAATGGATGGCATAGATTTAATGCCCTAATGCCACTCCATAATCATAATCAAGGGAATTTTGAGACCCCAAATCTAGGAGGAAGCTTGGGGTATCACTTCTGTTTTTCTAGACATCTTCAGCTAGATGGACGGATAGAGGGACAGATCTGAAAGTCTAGACAGGTAGTCCTCAACTTAATGACTATTGCCTAGAGACTGGTCAAAGTTACAACAGACCCTCCAAAAGCTACTTATGACCCAGTTTTGAAGTTCTGACATTCCTCCCCTCCCCCCCAGTCATGTGACAATTGGGGCCCTTTGCAGTGCCCTGCAGTCACAAAGACTTACTCTGGTTTTGTGGGAAACGGCCATTTACTTCTGGTTCCATCAAAAAACCTATAGCAAAAATGAGTTTTGCTTAATGACCACTTAGTTCACTTAACGACTGCCACAGGAAAGGTCTCAAAATCAGGTCCAGTCCAGAGGTGGTATTCAGCCGGTTCGTACCGGTTCACACGAACCGGTAATGGCGACGGGCACAATCCCGTCCTATATCGCTGTGTTTTTGATGATGCACACATGCGTGGATGGCGCCCACGATCCTTTTGCCGTGTTGCTTGACGTTGCACGCATGAGAATTGCCATGTTTTGTGATGCGCGCTCACATTTCTGGTGGTGCCCACCAAGCCCACCCACCAAGCCACGCCCACAGAACAGGAAGTTAAAAAAATTGGATTTCACCACTGATTACGACGCTGGGTTAGAGATGAGCAAGCCTGTGTTTGAGAAATGAATCCCACATCTGGTCCAGTGAGCCCGCTTTATGATCTCCATAGTTTATGACCATAACTGCCAGGCTCAATTAGAGTCATAAAAGGAGGACTTCCTGTACGCCTTTACTTAAAGGAGGGGGCCCTATTAAGTCCATCCAGACATTCCCATAGGCTTAGCGCTTGAGTTGTCCCTTTCCTCTGTGTATTTGGAAGTTGGACTCTGTGGACTTCAGTTTTTCTCAGTCCTGGGTAGATGCCAGTGCTCATTTCGTCTTTCCCGAAGGAATCTTCCTGTTTTTGGCTCGGCCGGATGAAAATGTAAGGAGAGGGTTAACTGTCCTTCCTTCCTTGCATAAGGAAAAGGAGACATCATCGTAAAAGATCTCATTCAACTCTGCTGACACTTAGCTTTCTAGCGCCAAGGATTAATTTATAATCTCATATAGCAGGAATTAGGAGTTAAGTGGGATTACACTTTAAGATTTCTGGAGGTGGGGGGGGAGGGGAAAACCAAGATTGGTGGAAGAAGTCAAAAATCATGGGCTACAAGAAATATCTAGACCTTGAGGGTTTACTCTCCCTCCTTCTTCCCCTTCCCCTTCTCCTCTCTCTTTCTCTCTCTCCCCTTCTGCCTCTCTCTCTCTCTCCCTCTCCCCCTTTTCTTTCCCTTTCTCCCTCCCTCTCTCTCTCCCTCTTTCTCTCTCTGCCTCTCTCGCCTCCTCTTTCTTTTTCTCTCTCTCTCTGCCTCTCGCTCTCCCTCTTTTTTCTCTCTCTCTCTCTCACATACCCTTTCTCTTTCTTTCTCTCCCCCTCTCTCCATTTCCCTTTTCCCTCTCTCTCGCCCTCTCTCTCTCTGCCCCCCCTCACACCCACACACAAATACACACCCACAAACAGACACACAGAGAAGGTTTGTTCCTGAAAGCTCATATCAAGCCCTTATTAAGGCTGAAGTCCACCATAGCTTGTGGGTCTGTCCTGGCCCAAAATAGCATGAGGGCACACTGCTGTTTTGTGACAGTTGTGGCTACAAGAGGCCCTCGTAAAGGAATGGTTTAGAGGCCACAGGTTGGTCCCTACGATTTTATGGGCATTCAAGTCTTCATGTACAATGTTCTTCCTTTGAGGGCAGTGAGGCCAGCCGCAGAAGTCCAGTAAATGCTGAGTTGGTGAGGAGGCCAGGTTGCAAGTACATCAGAGGCAGGAAAATGACCGAAAGGTGAATGAAAGGAGTCAGGGGATGGAATTGGATGGACGGGGGAAGGACACCATGCCCACAATTTTTGGAATACACCAATGGCAACCTTCCATCCAAGGACACCCGCAGTGGGATCAGAAGCCATGATGGCATTGCCAACGTTTTGAAGAGCTTCCTCCTCTTTAGGTGCACTAAGCATTCAAAATAAGAAGCGTCTTTGTGATGCTCACAAAGCGTGGTTGTTGTAGCGATGCCCTTGTTTTGTTCAGGCGCTGAGAACATAAATCCGCAGCCCTCAGAAAGAGGGAGAAGCACACGTGTGTTATTATGGGGGCCTGCAGTGCGAGGAGGCTCTGGGCTGAGTCTCGGGAGCACATTAATTAAAATAGGAGAACAGGGATGATCAGATTAATTTTTGCAGAGGTCTCCGTGGGCCACGTTCTGCGTCCATTCTTGTGAAATAAGCTCCTCTTACATTCCCTCCGAGTTGTGCCTTTCAAGCTGGGTGCAGGTGCTTCTGAACACCTGATGGTAAGAGTCAAGCTAGAGGGGAAAGCTTTCCATAAAGCAGGACAAGAAGCAACGGATGGAAACTTCTCAAGGAGAGATCCAATTTAGAATTAAGGAGGAATTTCCTAACAGTGAGAACAATTAACCAGTGGAACGACTTGCCTCCAGAAGTTGTGGCTGCTCCAACACTGGAAGTTTTTAAGAAGAGATTGGGCAACCATTTGTCTGGAATGGTATAGAGCTTTGATGGCAAACCTATGGCACACGTGCCACAGATGGCACACAGAGCCATGTCTGTGGGCACACAAGCGTTGCCCTAGCTCAGCTCCAGCGCGCATGCTGGAGGCCTCTGGAGGGTATCTGTGGGGGTGGGGAAGGCTGTTTTCAGCCTAGAAAGCCTCTGGAGCCTGGGGAGGGCAAAAAACAGGCCTACCGGGCCCACCATGCCATCATGTGCCAAAAGCAGGGGAAGTGAGGGGGGGTTGTATTGAATTACGAGTGTGGGCATGGACATGCGCGAGCCCCCCGCGCGATCCCCATTTTGGCACGCGATGGCAAAAAGGTTAGCCATCCCTGGTATAGGGTCTGCTGCTTAAGCAGGGGGTTGGACTAGAAGACCTCCGAGGTCCCTCCCAACTCTGTTATTCTGCTATTCTGCTGTGTTCAATGAGTTCTCAGGAAGTTAACACCTGTCCTCTACTCCAGTCACGTACAGGTAGCCCTCAACATACGACCGTCATTAAGATCAGAAAAATGATGGTTGGCCTGCATTGCCACTCTTCTTTTCAGCAAACTGGCCAGATTTTCCAGCAGATCAACTCGCACGCGTCCTCTTCTGAAAACGTCCGTGGGAGGCTGGCAATTTGTTTCAATTCCTTTTTGTATGAAGTGAGGAGAGGGAATTGCAGTAATTTAACTGAATGCTGGGTTTTTGTTTTTTGTTTTTTGCAGTAATTAGTCGGTTGGAAGGAGCCTTGATTGACAAAGGGTGATTTCTGCATGCTCCCAGGGTTATCCAGTGGGCAGGAATGAAGATGATTTCAGGTCAGGCTTCTAACAGCCTTGAAGGGATGGAATTTTGCAAGTTCCATTGCACATTATATTATATCCATTGTGGACGATTTGCAAACTGGTGAATCAGGGCTCAACTTTCTGCTGCACGAAATTCCCTCCTCCTGTTCAGATTTCTTCTCATCGCTGGCAGAATAAAAGGTAATCCTTGCAGGTTGTCGTGGTGGGAGCTCAGCTCCAAGATCAGTGGTCCTGCAGAGATTGGTTGAATTTGATAAGAGGGCTGAAAGTTTGGCCTTTCTCTTTTAACAGAAGTTGGGACAGCTCCCTAAGTAGGTTTCATACAGAATCTCTCTTTAGGAATTGGTTACGGTCAGAACACATTTTGGGGAGATCAGCAATTCAGCCAATGTCTGTCTGTCTGTCTCCCTTCCTCCCTCCCTCCCTCCCTCCCTCCTTCCTCTTCCTTCCTTCCTTCCTTCCTTCCTTCCTTCCTTCCTTCCTTCCTTCCTTCCTTCTTTCTTTCTTTCTTTCTTTCTTTCTTTCTTTCTTTCTTTCTTTCTTTCTTTCATCTCCTGGAGAGTTTTGGCCAGCCACTCTGTTTTTGCCTTGTGGTATGTTTTCAGACTGGAACTGGAACCAGAATCCAAAGTTAATAAGTCAGTCCAGAAAACCACAAGTGTGCTTTTAATTAAAGAAAGCTATGGGGTAGCTTGGTACAATGTGAGATTAGACAGAATCAAACATTCGTTGCATAGAAAATGAGCATTGCAAAGCCTCATTTAGCCTTCCGTTCTCATTGTGTTCCTGGCAACCAAGGAGCTTGCTGATTATCTTTAGAGTCTCAAACATCCAAAACTCTTCATCCCACTGTGATAGCGACCTCCTTCTACTGAAGCCTTGGATCTTAAGCTCCAGCTCTTTTCATTCCGCTCCAAGGACAATGGCCCCTTAATCAATTTTAATCTGCATGTGCCAATGATGGCTTACCAGCCAGGAATCATCTTTGGATTTGTGCTCATGTGGACCAGAAAGAACATCAAAAGCTGCTTGTGAGACTTAGAGAAGTAGACATTTGATGATGTAAGGCAGTGGTGAAGTCCAAAATTTTTTACTACCGGTTCTGCGGGCATGGCTTGGTGGGCGTGGCAGGGGAATGATACTGCAAAAGCTCCATTCCCACCCCACTCCTGGGGAAGGATACTGCAAAATCCCCATCCCCACACCACTCTGGGGCCAGACAGAGGTGGTATTTTTCCAGTTCTCCAAACTACTCAAAATTTCCACTACCGGTTCTCCAGAACCTGTCAGAACCTGCTGGATTTCACCCCTGATGTAAGGTAAAGATTCCCTTCCCACATATGTTCTAATCGTTCCCGACTCTAGGAGGTGGTGCTCATCTCCGGTTCAAAGCCGAAGAGCCAATGCTGTCCGAAGACATCTCCGTGGTCATGTGGCCGGCATGACTCAATGCCAAAGGTGCACGGAACGCTGTTCCCTTCCCACCAAAGGTGGTCCCTATTTTTCTACTTGCATTTTTACCTGCTTTCAAACTGCTAGGTTGGCAGAAGCTGGGACAAGCAACGGGAGCTCACCCCGTTATGCGGCACTAGGGATTCAAACCGCTGAACTGCCAACCTTTCAATTGACAAGCTCAGTGTCTTAGCCATTGAACCACCACGTCCATGACTCAAGAGCAAATCATCTTTCCCCTCAGCTTTTAGCAAAGAGTCCAATAATTCAATTCCATCACTGTGGAAACATAGATTGTAGCTATTTCAAGGTGCTGCCTGGATCAGTTTTAAGACAACCGTTCTAGAATAATGCCTGCCTATGGGGACTCCCTCCCCCAATGAAACGTTCTAGAGTTCTCAAGATTGTTCAAACCTTTGCAGAATATATTGGACTTAAATTGATGCACGACAGAAATACTGACTGGTTCTATGGGGTCCTTGGTGCTCTCTGAGCTTGGTGGTTTTCTTGCAGGCATTTGATTAACCAACTAGGTAATATCATCAGTTCATCTGTTCATCTGTAGTAGGTTTCCAATGGTGGAATACAGTCTGGAATCCCAAAACGGAGAGGCAGCTTCCCAAAAGGGCAAAGACATAGCCGACCTTGGAATGTCTGGTAGGCAGGAAGAGAGAGAGAAGGGGGCCCAATCCTACCAGTTCACAGAATATATCTATAATTATGCAGGAAGTGGTTTTAGTCCGGCAAGATTCTATCTGTAGGCAAACAACCATAAAGAAACTATTTAGCGGTAATTCCACACGTCATTCTTGGTTTATGGGGCCTGACATGGTCAGCTTTAGAGAAGATTGCTGATGATCCATCATAAGAAAATTAGAATAGTTACTTCCAAACAATGCTAGGTGTTTTCTAGTGACTTGCATACCAAAGGAATTAGCAAACCTTTCAGCAACTCCATTACTCATTATATGGTACTTGTTACAGACATTATAGCTGTGATTAGACACTAAGCTTGTAATTACAATGGTTACGTGGGCATTGGAAGCTGGTTTGCATTCATCGGTATCTCTCCTAAGATTGCCTTCCCTGGACAGCTTTGAAGAACTGGGTCATCTGAAGGATCTTCCCCTTGCCATGCTCACCACCCCCAGATACATGTTCGCAATCACGCCGGTTGTGAATTGGCCAATTAGGGCGCTGAGCGAGGAGAACATTGGTTGTTGTTGGATTTTGTTTTGTTTCTTCTTATCCAACAGCCACAATTGCAGAAATTGTATGGCTGATTATTGCCATGATTGCTGTATTCATTCAAGGCCTGGGGTCCTTTTGGAGATCACTTGCTAAGTTGGGAACGCTGACCCAACGGTGTGGAAACCATGGAAGTTTGTTCAGGTATGGGATGGAAGAGAAGCAGTTTAGTTGTTTAGTTTGCTTGGCTAGATAATTTTGTTTGAAATCTGGAGAGTATGACCAAAAATGTCAATTTAGTCTGATGGTGAAGACAACCAGGTTAGAAACTAAGAGATGGTGAGTTCTAGTACTGCCTTACTCATGAAAGCTTCTTGAGTGACTTTGGACCAACAACCAGGAGATGGTGAATTCTAGTTCTACCTTAGGCACAAAAGCCAACTGGATGACTTTGGCCTAATCCTTAGGAGACAGTGAGTTCTAGTACCACCTAGTCATGAAAACCACCTGGGCGACTTTGGGCCAGCCATTCCCTCTTCGCCCACCTCTAGGGGAAGGAGATCTATTACCATTTCAGGGTCCGATGACATTCTACTGCCTCTGAAAACACGTCTCAAAGTGGCTTCATCTGTTTTTATGTCGCAGAGTTCTCCGACTGCTAGATGGAACTTGAAATAATAAATCAATGTTATCGGTGCATTAAATCAGATGGCATTTGAGTTTTTATTTATTCCAATTTCCAGGGTAGTAAAGTGCTTAAGTTATTGGCCAAGGACTGTTGAGACCCAGGCTGGAGTCCACCTCAGATCTTGCAAGCTCTCAGGGTGATTTGGGGCCAATAACTCAGCCCACTCCTCCCACGTAATTACTTTATGGGGGGGAAAGGGGGGAGGGAATATTTAGGTATCTGTCTGCTACTCCAGGCAGAAATCTAAATCTAGATTTAGAGAATCTAAATCTAACAGAGCAAATTCTGCTTTTCCCAGCAGTCGAATCTGATTTACAAAAAAAAAAAAAAAAACAGATGCAATTTGTTCGATGAGCGTTGCATTCGTTGCAGACTTAATGACTACAACTATAATTTTTGTGGCTAAGCAACGTGGTTGTTAAGTGAGCTGCCCCCGTGCAGCCATGAGCCTTCTACAGATAGTTCTTGACTTATGACCACATCCGAGCCCCACAATTTCTGTTGCTAAGAAAACATTTGTTAAGTGAGTTTGGTCCTCATTTTACAGTTTTTCTTGCCATCGTTGCTAAGCGAATCACTAATGTTGCTAAATTAGTCATACAGTTGTTAAGTGAATTGGGCTTCCCCATTGACTTTGCTTCTCAGAAGGTCACAAAAGGAGATCGCGTGACCCTGGGAGACTCCAGCCATCATATAGTCAGTTGCCAAGCGTTTGAATTCTGATCACCATGGGGAATGCTACAGCGGTCATAAGTATGAAAAATAGTCATTTCTTTCCATGCCGCTGTAACTTCAAACAGTCACTAAATGAACCGTTGTCAGTTGAGGACTACCTGTATTGTACCGCTGAGCCACGAAAATTCCAGATTTGGGATAAAAGCACTCCTATTCAGCCCAAAATCTAGGATGGATGGGCTGAAATGAAAAAGGCCAAGAAAGAAACCGTCCCTCCTTCGTTTTCAGAAAAGAAAACATTTCAACAGTTCTCCATTTTGTGCTCTGTTTCTCCTTGCAACTCCTTCTCTCACTGCCCACCTCTGGAAATCCATCCTGCCTGAAATTCCCTGTCCGTCTCTCTTATCTGGCTTCTATCCTAACTGTTGTGGCCCGTCAGTGGCCTGTGCAGTTAGTAGCTGATTCCGACAGCGAGGAGGCTGGTGTGGTGCTGGCACCCGAGTGAGACAATGAGGAGGCTGGAGAAGATGTGGTGCCAGAGGCGGGGATTCAGCCAGGGCCTTCAGAACCTCCAGAACCTCCCATAAGTGAAGAGGAAGAAGAGGAGGAGCCTCTTCTCGATGCGCGAGCGCGCAGAGCTGCGAAAAGGCAGGAGTGGCTCCTCAGGAGGAGTCTCCTCAAGAGTAAGGCTTGGGGCTAATTGGCCACTCCCCTAGCCTATTTAAGGAAGCATGCCGACTGATGCAATTTGCAGGAAACAACTTCGTTTACATTCCTTCGTGTCTTGATTCCAGAAAACGTTTGATTCAGCTCTTGTTTCTCTCTTATCAGTTTTCTTGCAAATTGCTTCTGGGCATTCTGCCAACCACAGTAAGATTACAGTTATCTGAAATATTGCGCCTCAGAATTGATTTATTATTCTTTGGATTCTTGTCAGCTGTTAATGAAATTAAATTAACAGCCTTTGTTCAGAAAAGACTGGTTTAAATTAGTAAACTAAGGTTTGTACGGACTTTGTGTGTGCTGTGTTCTTTGGGATCCATAGCTGGGGCAGAACATTAACCCCCGGGAATCTAACGTGAACAGAGGCCTGCAATCCATCTCTCTGTGCTGGATAGACATCAACAATTCCCAGACCAATTCTTGAATACAGCTCGCCCACCTGGAACCCACACTGTATATCGGACATTAACACAATTGAGCAGATCCAGAGGTATTTCACGAGAAGAGTCCTCCACTCCTCTGCTCACAGTAGAATCCCTTATGCCACCAGGCCTGAAATTCTGAGCTTGGACTATCTGGAACTGCACCACCTGTGGTCTGATCTAAGCATAGTATGCAAAATTGTCTGCTACAACGTCTTACATGTCAATGACTTCTTCAGCTTCAACCTCAATAATACACAGGCAAGCAATTGATACAAACTCAAGAGAAACCGTTCCAAACTCGATTGCAGAAAATGAGACTTCAGTCACAGAGTGGTCAACGCCTGGAATGCTCTACCTGAGTCTGTTGTTACATCCTCAAACCCTCACAGCTTCAACCTCAAACTGTCTACCGTGGACCTTACCCCATTCCTAAGAGGTACATAAAGGGGGCGTGCATAAGCGCACCAGCGTGCCTATCGTCCCTGTCCTACTGTCTCCATTTATCTGTACTTACTTCCTTTGTTTATGTTGTTTATGTTTATACCTGCTATCTTGTACATGTTTGACAAACAAACCAATAAATAAATAAACAGAAATCGACACCCCAGTGAAAGCAACGTGGCCGAAGGGCTGGAAGAAATCACTTAGCAGAGAAAAGTATGACCGCCCACCACGTGTCCCCAAATGCTTCTTTTCGGCAAGAGGTCAAGAAAAGAGGCTACAGAAGAAGAAGAAGAAGAAGAAGAAGAAGAAGAAGAAGAAGAAGAAGAAGAAGAAGAAGAAGAAGAAGAAGAAGAAGAGAAGAAGAGGAGGAGGAGGAGGGGAGGAGGAGGGAGGAGGAGGAGGAGGAGGAGGAGGAGGAGGAGGAGGAGGAGGAGGAGGAGGAGGAGGAGGAGGAGGAAGAATTAGATACAATAGAAGCCTCTTTCTGCCTTCTTTCCTGCAAGCCTTTTGACCAAGTCTTTGTTGCAAATGTGCTTTCAATCGAGATCCACAATAAGAATTGACCTCAAAGGGCCCTTAGGAGAAAATGAAGAAGATGAACAAATTAACAATGGCAACCGTGATAATAAAGATAGGTTTATGAAACATGTATCCTACCCAACTCCCTGCGAGGCAGGGCAGCTCCCAACAATCAGCCAAGAAATTAGGAGAACATCCATAAAACGTAACAGAACAGAACAGCAGAGTTGGAAGGGACCTTGGAGGTCTTCTAATCAAATCTCCTTCTCAAGTAGGAGACCCTAAATACCATGTCAGATCACCCAGTCCCTTCTTGAAAACCACCAGTGTTGGGGCGCAACTTCTGAAGGCAAGCCGTCCCACTGATTGATTGTTCTCACTGTCAGGAAATTTCTTCTTGGTTGCTTCTCTCCTTGATTAGTTTCCACCCGTTGCTTCTTGTCCTGCCTTCAGGTGCTTTGGAGAATAGCTTGACTCCCTCTTCTTTGTGGCAACCCCTGAGATATTGGAACGCTGCTATCATGTCACTCCTAGTCCTTCTTTTCATCAAACTAGACATACCCAGTTCCTGCAACCGTTCTTCATATGTTTTAGCCTCCAGTCCCCTAATCATCTTTGTTGCTCTTCTCTGCACTCTTTCCAGAGTCTCCACATCTTTTTTTTAACATCGTGGTGACCAAAACTGGATGCCGTATTCCAAGTGTGGTTTTACCAAATGTAGGAGATTCCCAAGACAAATGGCCAGTCGAGTGGACAATATGAAGCTTGATGGACCAGCTGGTGGCCTGTTCTTCTTCTCCATTTCTATCCCGGTAAGAGCTTCCAACTTAGATCCACCACGGAGTCCCTAAAATGACACAGAGGTGGTGGGATTCGCTGGCTGGCTGGCTGGCTGCCTCGCTCACCCCATTTACCTCCACTATATTTACATGTCTATTTTATGATTTCAATTTTTAATGTTCCTGCTCTTTTGAAAATGCTTAATGCTCTGGAGTGGAACATTTTCTTCCGAGTCCTGAATGCAGATGGAGGAAAGGGCAATAAATCAACTAATAACTGGAATCTCATTTTCTGCTCCCCTGGCCAAGAGTTAACCCTCCACCTGCTGCCTTCCGTCCTCCAGCTGCAGAGGCAGAACATGGTCACCGGAACAGGCCCTGGGAATCCTGGGACTTGTAGTCTCAATACCAGGTTGTCTAAGGATGGAATATCGAGAGTCCTTGACTTATGACAAGTCAATTAGCAGAATTCAAACATATGATGGGCCTCCCCAAGGGTATTTATGATCCACTTCCAAAGTTCCAATGGCTGCCCTCCCCCACATCACATGACCAAATTTTATGACTTTTTTAAATTGAAAACCAGTATTTATTTCTTGTTTTCGGCAAAACTGGCCAATAGCAAAGGCTGCATTCACTTAATGGTCTCTAGAAAGGAATGGTCATAAAATCAGGTTGATCAACACATGACTGGTTCATGACCATCATGACTTATAACCATAATGGGCAGGCTCCATTATGGCCATAAGTCAAGGACTACCTATAAATGGTCTATGGGATCTTCCACCAGACTTGAGGGATGACAAATTGGGAGCGCCATTTCTGCAAATGTCTCCAGGGGAAGGAGAGCATCTCCAACCATTTCTTAATGGTAGGAATCTCCTCTGTTGGTGATAGAAGCATGGCCTGCTCAGAAGATCCAGGGATAATTCCTCTTGAGGTCTTCTCTTGATTTGGCCAAAAGTGTGAGAAGCCAGAGAAAAATCCATAAAGGGACAATGGCATAATAAAAAGGCAGGGTGTCTGCACCTTCTCCTTGGCCAACGTGCTACAAAACAAGAGCAGAAAGACCATCATTCACCATAAGAATGTCTCCAAAATTCTCTTCCTTTGGAAGACTGAATCAGAGAGATAAGAGTAGAGTTCATGTTGTGTGAATGTGGTTTTGGCACCCTTTCTAGGTCCTACTGGGATTAAGGAGAGCCGAGGTGGTGCAGTGGTTAGAGTGCAATACTGCGGGCTACTTCAGCTGACTGCTAGCTGCAGTTCAGCAGATCGAATCTCACTGGCTCCAGGTTGACTCAGCCTTCCGTCCTTCTGAGGTCGGTCAAAGGAGGACCCAGATTGTTGGGGGCAAGAGGCTGACTCTGTAAACCGCTTAGAGAGGGCTGTAAAAGCACTGTGAAGTGGTATATAATTCTAAGTGCTATTGCTATTGCTATTCCTTCCTTCCTTGAGCTGTGATGGCGCAGTGGTTAGAGTGCGGTACTGCAGGCTACTTCTGCTGACTGCCGGCTGACTGCAATTTGACAGATCAAATCTCACCAGGCTCCAGGTTGATTCAGCCTTCCGTCCTTCTGAGGTCGGTCAAACGAGGACCCAGATCGTTGGGGGCAATAGGCTGACTCTGTAAACAGCTTAGAGACGGCTGTGAAGCACTATGAAGCGGTATATAAGTCTAAGTGCTATTCCTTCCTTCCTTCAGACACAAAAGCTTGGACAGCCGTTCCTTGTTAGGTCGGGCGTGGTTTGTTTGGCGATGCCATCCTGGGCCGCAAACAGCTGTGTTTCAATGCTCCCCAAAGTGGCTCTTTTAAACAAAGATTCAGGATGCTTCTGTGATAGCCAAGGTTTGTATAATCACCTTCCTGGGTTTGCATTTCAAAGCCTGCCACCCAGTGGAGCAGAGGAGAGACGTGAATGGTGGAGGAAGAGGAGGGGACAAACATGGGGAGGTCATTTTATGGCATCTACATCCATTGATCAATTAATGATCCCCGGAGGAGAACAGCAAGAAGCTGTGATGTGTGAGTTAGTCACTCTGAAATGGAACTTTTTCATACATGGAATTTTTTTAATGGCATAAACATACAGTTGTCTTTAAGATCTCCGTCTGTTTCCTAACACCTTTGAATTCTCAAAAGCTGTACGTGTTTCAAGGTACAGCTGAAAGATTATCCTGTAAAAAAAATAGTTCAAATAGAATGTTTTTACCAGAGGTAACACAATCCACGCACTCAATTAGTCAGTCTCTCTTAGCATGTTCTTGAACTCATATTGCATTGAGTTAAGCCAAAATACTATATTCATTTCTTTGGAGACATTATAGGAATGCAACCATTGTGAGTTTTGGGTGGTAAACCTAAGTTGAGGTTTAATCGGGGTGAAATCCAGCAGGTTCTGACAGGTTCTGGAGAACCGGTAGCAGAAATTTTGAGAAGTTCGGAGAACTGGTAGTGGAAATTTTGAGTAGTTTGGAGAACTGGCAAATACCACCTCTGGCTGGCCTCAGAGTGGTGTGGGAATGGATATTTTGCAGTATCCTTCCCATGGAGTGGAGTGGGAATGGAGATTTTGCAGTATCCATTCCCTGCCATGCCCACCAAGCCATGCTCACAGAACCGGTAGTAAAAAAAAATTGGATTTCACCACTGGGTTTAATGCAAACTTTTTCAAAGTTGGCAACGTTAAGAGGGGTGGACTTCAACTCCCAGAATTCCCCAGCCAACATTAATATCTTCTATGAACTGAACCACACCAGTCCCTTCCACTGGAGATATTTTTATCAACATGGCAGGAATTATTCCATAATGGGTGTCTATACACCCATTTGTTCTCGGTGAGGATGAAGCATTAACTCTTCCTCTCTTTATTCATCTTCATCTTCATGAGAGGTTGTGAGGAGTCTAGAAAAGAAATAGAAAGGAGAAGAGATATAAAGCATCAAGGAAAAGTGAATTTCTTTGCAACTTATCTCAAATGGCAATGGTCAGGCTCCAAAACCAAGGAAGACTTACTTCTAAGCACTTACTTCTAAGCAGTTCCTCACCTATAGACAGAATCTTGCCAAACAGAAGCACGCTCCTTGCATTACCGAATCTATATTCTGAGAACTTCTAAGAAGGAGTTAATTTAAAGCTTTTCCACCCATCCGACCAATCTAAACTGTGCTATCTATCTCTTATTCCTCTGGAATGCAGCCTCTCCCTTCTGGGAATCCAGACTACATTCCACCACAAGTTGAGCCCAGGTGGCAATAAACTTAGGAAGAAACATTTCAGCTCCTTCAGAATCTCCTCTTCAAGAACTCACTAATAATGAAGAGTGGGAAATTGTTTGCAGCTTCCAAGATTCTATATTGACACCAAGGGATGTCAAGATGACGAGTGACATCGTACCAAAATCCGTCTCCTGGCCCAGCTTGGGTGGGATTTGACAAAGGCACAAAGATTTCATCTTCATTGTTTTATGAAAAATAATTACTCCTTTTCTGCTCATCTGGAATCCTCTGCTCACCTTAAGCCCAGATTGTGAGGATTCTGTAGCCAGTATTTGTGCCAGGGAAGCACTCATGACTTACTCTGCAGACTTTAATCTTAGCATCCTTTTATTTATTTATTGTTTAGCCAGGATTGGGAAGTAGGTTGTTGTATGGATTTGGAAGACTTCATTAATGAAGTGCTGATGCTTCTTTAAATGTCTCCAAGACAGGTCCGGGCTACCTTGGTGTGGCTACAGAAATACCAAACCGCAGATAATAATAATTGGGGAGGCCGCTACGATTCTTGGTTTAATGGCTATCTTCAAACAAGATTTTGTGCTGGTGTGACAAGGTGATAGGAGCCTTATAAATATCCCTGGATCAATGCAAACTAATGAAAGAAACAACATGCCCTTGACAGAAGCAGCTGATCTTTGCTGAGTGGGCCATTGTGTTGTTAAGCAGGTGGGTCTACTCTTCTTTGAAGCTGGAGCAAGCATTGATTTTGTATTTTTTCCTTCCTACGACAAAGTCTCCTGGATGATTGCAACAGCAACGAAACCACCATATTTAAAAGCGTGACATTAAAAGCCGCAATTAAACCAGGCGCAAGAAGTAAAATTATTAATTATAATTAAGAGTTAAAATCAGCAAAGTAAAAAGCCTGTAGAAGGAGACAATGTCTTACAGGTCCTTGTTTTGTTTTTCCAACTCTGGGCAATGCAGGAAACTAACTAGATAATGGACTCAGAGGTCCCCTCATTTGTCCATCTCTCCACCCACAGGATGACTCTCTCCAAAAGCTGGACATAATGGGATCAAATTTGGTGGAAGGGGAGAAGCTGGTGAAAGGAAGGTGGAGTTGAAAAGTGGATCAGATTTAGCCCAGGAGCCATGGAGAAAAATCCCATCTTTACACATCTTCTTGGCCAACCACATGGAAGAGGCAGTTGGGCATAACCTGGAATTGATATAAGTAGTTATTAGCAGAAATTTAGTGGGATGTGGTGTGCTAGTGCTTGATGGATCTGGATCTGGAGCCTTGGGATTCCCTGTGCCAAGTCCAGCCCCATTGGGTTTGGAGTCTTGGAATGGCCCATCAGGAATAGCAACTCTTCCAACAAGGGTTAGAGATAATAGAGTTCTCCAGAACCTCTGGTTATTTAATATGGCCACAATGCACCTGAATAATATATGTCCCACTAGTTAATTGTTCTAACTGTTAGGAAATTTCTCCTTAGTTCTAGGTTGCTTCTCTCCTTGGTTAGTCTCCATCTGTTGCTTCTTGTTCTGCCTTCAGCTGCTTTGGCTGCCACAAAGAAGAGGGGGTCCACCTATTCTCCAAAGCACCTCAGGGTACCGGTTGACATGCAAAGATCACCGATGATAACATCTGGGGTGGTGGGCGGGGCCTCCTGCTGGTTTTACTACCGGTTCTTGGCTAGTATCTGTGAACTTCAACTCCCAGAATTCCCCATAAGGATATGTGGACTTCAATTCCCAGAATTCCCTACCTGGGAAGTAGACTTCAACTCCCAGAATTCCTTGATCT